CCTTGGCTTAAATACATAAATTTTATTATTTAACGTCTGGGATTTTCTCAGTCATTACAATAAGACTATGATAAGACATCATAATTAAGCATAATCAGCTAATGCATATATATTCATGTGTACTTACAGTTATTTTGTGAGATATCGTTCCTCCTTGCTGAGCAAAAGCTTAATCAGATATGTTCATGCTGTAGGTAAGACACTTATCAGCAATTCTTGAAGGGCAATGGTGAGCGGCAGACGAATTGTGGAGATGGGAATGGATACCACTCACACAGTTATCTTCCGCAGTAAGTTTAAGAAAAATCATGTATATGTCTATATGATTCAAAGATTTCAGGCATGTATGTTTAAAAAGTATACGTACATATGTATGTTAAGAAAACCGAGGCTGTAGCTAACAACCCTAGTTTTGAGTATTTAAGTTTTAGAATGTTGCAATAGTGCATGTAACAAATAAACGAATTTTAAACATGACGATTTAAATAATTGATTTTAAAAGGACTTTAAGATGTACTTGAATTTAAGATTTATCATGAAATCCATTTTTAAAGTCAATTAGATGGCCCGATTGATATGGCTAGTTTTAGAAAGACTTTTAAAGAGTATTTGAAACAAGAGATCAAACGCTGCTCAGTTTGAGGGATATTTATAGAAGATTTTATCTTAATTGAAATTAAGAAAAAATTTTAAGAAATTTAGTGACTTATTCTTTTGAAATTATTATTACGAATTAGGAAATTATTCCTTCTTATATAAAAAAAAAGGAAAAAAAGTGTTCCGTAAATTTTAAGTAAGTACAAGTTAATTTAAGCTATGGTGGCGGCCACCTAGGAGGGTCGTCATAGTGGCTGTATTTGGTAGTAATTTTTAGAGTTTAAAATTAATATTTTAGTTAAAATTTTGTATTTAATAAAAATTATAAAAAGTGATTCTTAAAAAATTTTAAAAAATTTACGCGAAAAGTCTTAAACAACTTAGAACTTTTTATTTTCTTTAAACATTGGAACTTATTATAATAGAAAAAGACACGGCATTTGAAGGGAAGATAGTGGCTACATTTGGTAGTAATTTTTAGAGTCTAAAATTAATATTTTAGCCTGAAATTTGTATTTAAAAAAAAAAAACTATAAAAAGTGATTCTTGAAAAAATTTTAAAAAATTTACACGGAAAGTCTAAAACAACTTGGAACTTTTTTTTTCCTTAAACATTAGAGCTTATTATAATGGAAAAAGACACGGCATTTGGAGGGAAGAGAGTGGCGGTGGCTGCTTTTAGTAGTGATTTTTAGAGTCTAAAATTAATATTTTAGCCAGCCACAGTTGAAAATTGTATTTATAAAAACTATAAAAAGTGAATCTTAAAACATAACAGATCGTGGAACACATGAATGAGCAAGATGAATGCAAAACTTAAATGCAGAAAAATAAAAATAACAGAAAATTTTTTTTTTACAAAAACCAAAAGCTTACTAATTTATTGTTATTTAGTGAGAATGGTAGAATGGAAAATTTGTATCCAAAAAAATGGGTCTTAGCAGGGTTCCAAAAGAAAATTTTTTAAAGGTGAAGATACCGTTTTAATATTATTAAAAATATAAAATACCGCGATATGTTTCACTATAAAGTAAAGTATTAAAATAATTATATCCCTTTTTGTTGTTCTCTCTAATTTTGTCTTTCACTCTTTCATTCTCTCTCTCTAGAATTTGAATCATCTCTCTCTGAAATAATATAGCATTATTTTTTTAATGGCATCACTGAAAATTACTTGTTGTGTGGGAAAATGTGACGGACACCTGGATCAACGGCGTCACGACACGTGGCTATACTTGCTTTCCGCCGAGCACTCAACCACCGACGCTTCGTTCTCCTCAAGATCAGCTATAGAGCCCGAAGATGAAATCCATGATTAGGACGACGACCCCATGAGACGTTGACGGTTGATTCCGCCTGTGTCGAACACGACAAGATCCCTCGACTGCAGAAGAGGTCATTAGGAGGGGCGAGAAAGGTTAAACAACCACTGACGACGAGGGGAACGTCCCTTTTTGACATGATAGGTTACATGCAAAGATAAGAGAAGTCTGACAGCATTAATTGCAAGTTTGCAAACCGCCCCCCCAGGGGACAAAAAAGCATTACGGAGAGAGTCACAGAGCTGTAATAGAAGACTAATTGGTTGAGTGAACAGTACTGATTAGTGGGCTATGTCTGGGCCTAGAGCACTTGAGTGTTCCTACCTATGAAGGAAACCCACCCAGCGAAGGAAGTCCGAGTATAAAAGAAGAAGGACCCCAATAGGAAAGGGGGGAGAAAAATTCAAAAGGAAAAAGAACGAGGGAAAGATAGAAATAACATTCATTGTAAACTATGATCTCTACAAAAGAAATATAATATATACAGTGGATGTAGCTCTGATTTTATAGAGTGAACCACTATAAAATTCTTCTTGCTCATTTACATACAGTTCGTTCAAACATGAAAATACTTAAATCAAACTAGAATCCACACTTTCATTAAACCCACGAGCCGGTAATCCTAAGGGTAACCCCAAGATATTCTGGCGGGTTTATTGTTGACGAAATCCAGCCGTCAACATTACTCTTGGATGAAAGTCAAAGTCCTCAAAAAATCTAAATTTCATCAATACACTTAGATTGCAATCTAAACCATACAATTCAAAATTTCCAGTTCAAATCAAACCAATTCCTACTAGTGGGCAAAACATAATGTTAGCTTGTTACATGGCATGTCAGTAGGATTTCGCAAAGCGTGTCAGTAACCAAAGTAAACAAAAAAAAACAAAAAGAAACAAAGTCTTTTATTTAGTAAAGATTAGTAATCCTAGACTCAACTAAACACTAATAATTCTTATGAAGGTAGTGATTCTAAAGCACAAACCCAGCAAGAGAATTAATTTTTGTTTTTGATTATATTTGTATTTCATTCTGGCCTATTGCCCTTACTTTTTTTTTGGGGGAATTGTCATGGCTATTATCATTTTCATTTTCGTGATTTCATTCCCTCAGCACAATCAAACGTCTCATTTTCATGGTTAACGTTTTTTTTTTTTTTTATTCTTTTTTATCACCACCACATATAGTCCTCTGTTTTGGTCTCTTTTTATTATTATTATTATTATAAATTTGATGTCAATGTTCTTTCGTTTTTTTGTTTTTTTTTTTTTATCAGCAAAAAAAACAAAAAACAAAAAACGAAAGAACATTGACATCAAATTTATAATAATAATAATAATAAAAAGAGACCAAAACAGAGGACTATATGTGGTGGTGATAAAAAAGAAAACGGAGGAAGCAGGAAATGGGAATTTTCAGAGTGAACAACTTAGAAGAATGTTCAATGATTCTTTTCTTGGGCCTTTCCTGCATAAAGTTTTGTGTCGTTTGTGGATACAGGAAAAATAAGCAAAATCCACAATAAACGTAGGCGCAGATAGTTAGTTGATTTGAATAATTCTCTACAGCTAACCAAAAGTGTGAATATTTAGTAATTGTTATGTTTAATTTGTGGGGTATAATTATAAAAGCAGGTACAAATTCATCATCAAATGTGAAAGTGTTGGCCTTTCTTTAACAATCAACCTTTACCTGCGTATAGATGATTCATCATTAGGCATTGTTGTTCTTTTCCCGATACAAAGATGTGTTGGGACTATGAAGCATTTTCGATACTTGAGTAGTCTCTTAAGAATTACTCCCTAATTCTATATTACTGAGAGCAAAATGTTAAACATACAAGAACACACAAGATTTATAGTAGTTCACCCTCAATATGAGAGCTACGCCTACTTTTCTAAAATTCTCTTGATTATAAATATTTGTTTGTAAATATTTGTGTCGTTTGAATTTTAGATTATTTTTGTGTGAATGTTCTCTTGATTATATGTCATGACCGGAAAATTTGTCGAAAGAATTATTGTATAAGATAAAATTTTCTGAAATTCTTTGTATTATTAATATGGATACTTTTATGATAAGTATATCTTGATATTAATATGGAATAATAAATTATAAGCTAAAGCTCAGAAATTTTTGAGATATGATGCAGTTACCGATTTTTAGACTGTATTTAAGAAAGAGACACGAAATGCCGTGTTAAACCCACAAGTAGGCAAACATATGAATATTAAGTTTAAGAAATGAAAAAGAATTGAAAAACATCAATTCTAGGGTTTTAGAAACAATCGAAACAAAGAACAGATGAAAAAGAGGGTTCGGAAGGCCGAACCGAGAAAATTGAGGTTTTCTACAGATTGGGGTTAACCAAGTCAAAATTTATTGACCAAGAGTTGATTAATAAGTCACTCTTGAAAGGATAGTCAAGGTTGAATAAAGTTGACTAAGTTGATCAATAGTCTGAAAAATGTAAATAAAACGCGCACCAAATAGAAATTAAACTGAACCGAAATAAGATAACCACTACAACAATGAATAGTTGAGATTTAAAGTGACTAAATGATTAGAGGGATGAGATTGTGACATGTGGAAAGTAAGAGAAGATGGCCGGCCAACTTAAGGGGGAAGGAATGAGAGATTTTGTTGAATTTTGTAAAAACAAAAAAAAAAAAACCTTAGAAAATACTAAAATTGCATTTTAGTCCCCCTTCTTTTTGGTGGTCGGTTTTTAAAGGAAAAAAATACAAGAAAAATATTCATTTTTCATGCTAAGAACAGAGAGAACTCAGCCAAAGAGAGAGAAAGAAAAAAAATTCACCCAAAGTGAGAAAAACAAGTTTAATCAAAATTGATAAAACTACACCACTAGTTCACATCACTAAGTACTTCTCTTCATTCTCTATTAATGTAAATTTCAGTTTTCTTCTCACTTTTTCTACCTTGGCTGCAATTCTTGGTTATGATAAAATTTGTTTTAATGAGGGATGAAAAGTATTATATATGCCAATCAACTTAAAAATAAATAATTATCCTTTAATTAATAAAAAAAAAACAAAATCGACGAAATTTACAAGAGTGTACCTTTCAATCTCACTGTACTCTCTAATTAACTTAAAATCGTAGGGTAATCGAATTACAAGTGTAAAATCACCAACGTTCCATCAACAAAATCGACGAAAGTCGATGTGCATGTGCCCTCTGTGTAAGGCAATAATTGTTAAGCCACTAATTAGGCTACACCAAGACCTTAGACTCGAGAAACTTTATGGTTCCATCTAGAAACTGCAGAGTCATTAGACTGTTGAAACTCAGCAAATACAAACAACTCAAGGAACTGCGTAGAGATTTAGCGAAGATGATCAATCTAAGATTTGTAGGTACAGCCATAGAGCAAAGCCTCATAGTTCTTGGAACATTGATCATTTGATATATCTCGAAATTTGTTCCTTTTGTGAAAGACCTTCCTGCATTAGAGAGTAAGTGATTGAATGTTAAGAGGTTGCGATTTGGCAATCAAGATCTCTGGTTTGGAATTAGTTGGCAGCAGTCAATTAGAAAATTACCATTTAAATTGAGGATTATCATCCCATTGCATTGACGAATCTGAGAATTGCGAAATGTCCTGCATTGACTGGCAGAAGACTCTCTCAACACCATTGTAGGTTGGCACCTTGGAGCTCACGTCGCATGGTTCATCTACACAAATGTATATGCGGAAATTAGCCAATTTTGCATGTTCAAATCTTAGAGTCTGCCAATATGAAATTAAGAACTCTATATTAGTGCCAGAGAAGAGAAAACAGCAAAAGAGGAAGAATGCACGCAGTCAAATGAATTCCTGAAAACATTTTCATCTCTATATATTACATTGGCATGAAGCTTCACTAGTTCCTTGGCTTTTATTGCAGAGCTTGAGTATTGGCTTTCATCTCTTTGCATTTCAATCAGTCGTTATAACGGTTGGCAAGGCTCGGCAGCAAAAAAATAATAATAATAAAAAAAGAAAAAAAAAAAAATATATATATATATATATATATGTAACAACAGCAGACATGACAATTACATTGAAGATTTACTAAAACAAAACGAAAAACAAAGCTTTATGTGCGCATGTGTGAATGTAGACGTATTGTTGATTATGAATATCAAACCAATTGAAGAAGATAAAATTTATAGGCTGTAGACAAACCTTCTCAGTGTATCGCCCAAGGCGGTGCTATCTGGAGGAAGTGCAACATGATGCTACATGAGATAACCATGACGGGGCTTACATTCAAATCGAAGAAAGTAAAGGAATGAATCAATAGTTCTCAAACACAATTCTAAATCTCTTGTAAAAATTACAGTTCCACAATGGAAATGTTCAGAATACAAGTCTCTCGCTCCTCCAGTTAAAAATTATTATTCAATTTCTTAATAAAACATTGGCATAAAAGAAGCAGAGTATGAATTGAGGAAAGCACCAACATAAATTATTCCCGAACAACAGAACAAAGGCGGCTCGTTTAAGAAGATTCAAAAGTACCTGAAGATGTGGAAAACGAGTGGATACACAGCAGCCACCATCCTAATACCATCAGCCCACAATCCCTAGCACCCCTCAGTGCAAACAAGGACATTCCAAGATATGAAAATATGATAGAGATGAAAGCAGCCCTTCTTGCAACAAAAATTTTGAGCTTAACGGAGATGAGTAGTTGAAATCCCAAGCCGTTCAGGAGTTCTTGGTTTGGAAAGAACTGAAAAAGTTTCTTTATTGCCTTCTATCATCAATGTCACAAAGCTTCCTCATTTAGCACGGATAGAACACGTATTTAAACGTTCCTAGACGTGGAATATCAAACAAATGAGACATTTTCACGGATATTCAACCATATGATCAAAATTGAAAGAGTGCCAGAAACTGCTATCAGAACTAGCAAATGAGAGCAGCATATTTACCTTTCTCAAAAAAAGACTCGTGATGTCATTCTTCACATCTTCCCGGGATTTTTCAAGGTGCCTTTTTAAATAGATACTCAAATCCCGAATTAGACTTGGTATTGTTTTCAACTGGCTTTGGTGGAAGAGTGCTTTTCTCAACTGTTATGCTTTTAGCAGCTGCAATTAGATAAAAAAATCCTCTTAAAAGAAGTAGCCAAAAGAAGCATCTTATTCTCTAAACATTAAGAAAATGAAAACATTGTTTTAACAAGATGAGGAGTGTGATTTCTAAACAATAAGCGTTCTAAACATTTTCATGTCCAAATTACCAAATTTTGATTCCACAAGACTTTGATACACTTCGACAACATATATTCTTGGGAAAAAAAACAAAGTTAAACCACACATAACAAAATAAATAAGTAAATATATAAATAATATGGTTCTAGTTATCGTGCACTCAAAATGTATAACTCAACCTTTGTATTGGTCCATTGCTCTGTATCGGTAATGAAAATAGCCTCTGAACAAATACAGACAAAATAGAAACATATACAGATACAGATTATAAAGTGAAACCTGAAGTAACAACTTATAATTCCATATATATAAGTAAAAGGATAAAAAGAATCTTCTTAAGAAAATGACAAACGAAGCAAAAAAAGACATCAAAGACAAAGGGGACCGAAACAGACGAAGAACCTCATATTCCAAAAAAATTAAAATTAAAATTAAAAAAATTAAAAAAAATAAAAATAAAAAAAGACCAATTATTGATGGAAAGTAATATTATTCAAAAGGAAGGAATTAAATAATAAGAGTTGACTTAAAATGGAAAGCAATAAAGTTGTTCTTCTTAAAATTAGAAATAAAGAGAGAAATGAAAAGTACCTGAAAGATGATTAACCTAAGCGACGCTGACGCCAACTCCAATGATCAATTCTTCCTACGAGAGGACATCTGGAGATACGCAAAGAATCAAGAGAGGACAGCAGCCCCTCGTCAGGCAAGCACTTCAGATTTTTGCAATTCCCAATCAGCAAGTGTTGAAGAGAGCAGAGGTGTTGAAAGCCCATGCGATTCAAGTCTCTAAGCCTTGGAAAACCACGGATCTCGAGAGAAGTGAGAGATGTGGGCAATTGCTCTTCGAGCAAGCTCTGGAGCTTTTCACAATTCGAAAGGACCAGCGTTTTAAGAGAGATGAGCTGCTCAAGTACTCCCTTCCCATTCTCTTCTACTGCTTTGTACTGGAGATTATTGCAGCCCCTAATTTCCAACGTTTCAAGGGAGATGAGGTGTCGAAGGAAGCCATCACCTACGTCTTCAAGGCTTGGAAGGTCTCTGATACGGAGAGAAGTCAGAGAAGCGGGCAACCCAGTTCCTGACAAGCACCGGAGATTTTCGCAATTCCAAATACTCAACTCTTTAAGGGAGGTGAGGTGTTGAAGGCCCTTGCCAAGGTCTTCAAGCTTATTAAGCTCATCTAAATGGAGAGTAGTGAGAGATGTGGGCAGCATCTCTCCCGGAAAGCACTGGAGCTCTTTGCAATTTTGAATTATCAACTCTTCAAGACAAGCGAGGTGTTCAAAGCCCTCCCCATTCAGAACTTGAAGATTCTCAAGGTTCTCAATATAAAGAGAAGTCAGAGTGGTCGGAAGCAATGTCTCTGGAAATTTCATCACATTTTCATAGCGCCCTGAAATCTCTAAGCTTGGAAATTTCATCACATCTTCATAAGAATTAATGCCAAATGCTTTCAAGTTTGATGGAAAGTTACATAACAAGAATTCGGGACAATCTCTTACATCCACTTCTTCAAGAGAAGGTAAATAGTCTGGTAAGCACCCACTTAGCTTGGGACATTTGATAATACGAAGGTGCTCAAGACTAGGGAAGCATCCGCCATCTTCTCGGCCTTCAGGAATTGACCACTCTTGCCACGCTGGCATGTCTTTAAATTTTAAAGATCTTAAAGATCTAAATGGTTTAGTATTGGAAGAACTCTCACCGTAAAATTCAGCACCTATTCTTTCCACACCGCGGCAGTTATAAATTTCGAGACTTTGGAGAGAAGGTAGCTGACCAAATGGTGGCAACAAACAACAGTGGTGACAATTGAGTAGATACACAGTAACCATGTTAGCATATGAATGATGACCTACCCAATTAGAGAATGTTTCGCCTCCATAACCCTCTATACGAAGCTCCTTCACATTTGTGTGAGGTTGGAGTGCATCAAGAACTTCTCCATGTCTTGTTGACTCATTAGCGGCATCATTGGAGCTCCAAAGGTAGACTAGCTTGTTGAGATACCTTTTATCCTTTAAGTTAGCCTCCAAAACATCCTCAACGACCTCAACATTTTCAAGCTTACGGATTTCAAGTTCTCCGGACAAGTAAGGCAACCCTCCTAACTCCTTAATGCTAGAGCCACGCCTTTTGCACAAAACAAAGTAGCGTAGTGTTTGCAAGTCTTTCATATTGCGCATCATAGGCGGCATCTCCTCCAGTGGTACGCCTTCAATTTCAAGATGGCGCAAATTGACTAGGTTTCCCATGTCGTTTGGCAACTGAGTTAGTCGTATGCACTGCGATAATCGCAAAGTCTGCAAATAATACAATCTACAGAGCGTATTGGGTATCTCTTCGGTCATATAATTCCGTGATAAATCCAAATACCGCAAATGCTTTAAATTGCCAATTGAGTCTGGCAATATTCTGATCCCTGATAGGGATAGACAAAGAGCTCTTAAGCATCCTCCAATAGATAGCAGTCGTTCCAATTGTGGCATGCTAATTGAGCATGCCAGCTGATAGGGTGATCCTGATCGTACGCAAGTGCGGAGACTCTTAGCCAAAGATAAACCTACAAAACTCTCCAAGTCCTTCATTTTGGAGCATGAAACATGGCGAGTCTTGGCAGAAAATTTAGCTTTGTCACCGTCATCCAACCTACAAGAAAATTCACCTGATACAAATATTGCTAAATCATGTGTGAGGTCATGCATTAAGATGGTCAATTTATCCTTACTCAATGGATGGAACAACGACCTTGATATCAGATCTTGAAAGTACTCATTCCCTACATCCTCAATTCTTTTCCCTCTCTTTCCAGATTGCAAAAGACCTTCCGCCATCCATAGCCGTATTATTTCATCCTTTCTAAATTCATGCATTTCATAATCCTTAGGAAATATCGAGCAGTAAGCAAAGCATTTCTTTAGATGTGAAGGTAGATAATGATAGCTCAACCACAGAGAAGGCAAAATGTTGTTACTCTGATTTTCTTGCAACTGCAACTCCCATATGTCACTATTGAGGATCTCTCTCCATTCTTCGGGATCCACCACCGAGCGCAAGAGACCAGCAAGAGACTTAACCGCTAAAGGAACACCTTTGCACTTTTTGACAATATTTCTGCCAATGGCATGTAGCTCTTGATACGCCTCTGACCTTGCACCATTAATAAACACATGCTCCTCAAATAACTTCCAACAATCATCATCAGATACTTCCCCAAGGTGATGTGTAGGCACATTTCCCATCCTCTTTGTGACGATATCACTACGTGTTGTCACAATGATCCCGCTTCCATTGGCTCCGGATTGGAAAGAACTCAGTAAGGCCTCCCAATGCTCATAGTTCTCGGTCCATACATCATCCAGAACAAAGAGAAACCTCTTGCCGCTCAATGACTCCTTTAACTCGCATTGAAGTTGATAGAGGCCCTCAGTTTCACGTTTTCGCGAGGTAATCTCTTGAAGAATTTTTTTAGCTATTACAGAAATCTCAGATTCATCAGAAACAGTAACCCACGATCTGATATCAAAATGATTCTTGACACTTATGTCCTCATATACTAGCTGAGCAAGGGTGGTCTTGCCGATGCCACCCATGCCCACAACGGGAATCACAGATATCTTGTTCTCGCTACTACTACCACTATCGGGAAGCAATAGCTTCATGATTTTCTCCTTATCATCATTCCTTCCATAGACACGAGATTCATCAGCCAAAGGAGCAGGTAATCTTTGAGAACGCCTATTAATGACACCTTCTTTTAAACCAAGTGCATCTTTTTGTTTAACAATATGCTTCAGCCTATCAAGGATCTCCTCTATCTTGCGCTCTATAGCTTCATCAAACGTATCAAAACAAGCAAGAAAAGATTGGAGCTTCTTACGTACTGATTTGCTTCTTGGTTTAGCTTTCTTCTGCTCATACTCCAAAGTCCGATAGTTGATCTCGTCGAGCACATCTTCAGCCTCATAAATGGTTTCCTTGAGCTCGAAAAGCCACTCACTGACATCCGGGTTTGTGAGTTGCTTCTCCTCAGCATCAACCAACACTTGGTTAGCCGACCACATCAAAGTCTTCAGTTTCTGCAGCAGCCCTTGGTTCACCTTCAGTCCTCGAAAGAAGCCCCGCAGATCTCGAGAATCAAGCTTGTTAAACAGTGTCTGAAACAGAGAAGAGAGCAAAGCTCCTCCAACAAGTTCAGCAGCCATGTTTTTGGTCGATATTGCAGTTACAGAGACAAGAGAAGAAAGGAAAGAAGGAAAAGTATGGTGAGTTCTCAATTGCAGCTTACAAGCAGGGGAAGAGAAAGGAAAGTCTTGGTCAACAGAAAAAAGGGTGGAAGGCACTGAAAAGAAAAAAAGTGGATCCAAAGTCACCTAACAAATACAGCATTTGAGGGGAAAAAAGTGAAGCGAAGACACGGCATGTGAGGGGAAAAAGAGAAAAAGTCACAGCTAGCACAAGGGGAAGTGGGCCATTGGCTTAAGTTTGGTAGTGTTTAGTATTTTATTTTGTTATTGCAATTTTGGTGTGTTTTATTAATTATTAGATTAAATTATGTTAGTTTATCAATTCATTTTAAAAGTTTAAGGGGTTATTTTTTTGTTTAAAAAACTCAAAAAAATACAATTCGAGTTCTAACTTTATTCAAGTTTATGTTCTTTTAAGTTTCAATTTTATTCAATTTTACTCAACTTTATTCAAATTACAACTTTAACTCAAGTTATAACTCAAATTTAACTCAAAAATTACACTCAAATTACTCTCCAAAAGAACATCCCCTAAGTTTTTTAAAAGGTATATCAACAATAGTTTTATATTTTAATACTCTTTCTCAGGTGTGGGCTAGATAATGGGCAATCATGTAAATAAATTAATTAGAAAGTCTAACACGTGAATATTTAAATTTGAGATATATTAAAGACTCAACACACGATGAATATTTAAATAGGAATAAAAAATATAATTACGGAAGTTTAAACTCAGAACCTCTCGCTCTAATACCATATTAGTATACTAATCCATTCTAAAAGTTAATAATTAAACCTTCAAAAATAGATACATAGTAAAAAAGGGAAAAATAAAAAATAAAAAAAACAAAAAATGATTACTTCTTAGCTCTTGTCTCTCTAAAGAGATTCAGAGCCAGCCCTAGAGGATTGAAATCGAAATTTCTATGCGCAAATTACTCTCATTCGCTTAGAATTTGAACACGAACATGAATGGTGTGCTATCAAGTATCAACTATCAAAGAAGTCAAGAAGACAAGAGATTCGAGTGAAGAAAAAGTTTACCAGCAGTCGATGGCCGACGGCGGCACTAACCAGGGGGCGGCGGCGGCGGCTTAGGGTACGAGAGAACTGAGAAAGTGAGAATTTGAGGGGGGGGAGACGGAGAGAGCTGAATGAAAATGATGCGAGGTTTTAATATTTTTGAGTTATTACTATTTAGTCCCTATACTTTGAGTGCAATCACAATTTGACCCGTAAATTTTTAATTTTAAAATATTACTCCTTCAACTTTCAATTTTTAATAGTTTTAGTCCTTAATACTATGAACAATTTCTAATATTTAACATTAATAATCATATTTTTATCGCACTAAAAATTTAGATAAATAGTTATATTAAGAACAATATATTATAATTTTGTTACGGGTTTTAATATTAATAATAACTGTTTCTATAAAATTTTAAGTTATTATAGACTTGGCTATCTTCCTTTAATTTCATTAATTATTGTCAATTTACTATCAGAGATTAAAATGATCAAAAAATTAAAAAGGATTAATATGTCAAAATTTAAAATTTAAAAACCAAAATGTTTCATCAGCTAATCATATACATTTAGATTCGAAAAGTTTAGCAAATTTTTTCCTATCTAAATGTATACAAAACTTTTTTTTTTCAACATTTTTTAGCTTCTATTTTTTCCAACTTTCACTTGATCATATATTAAATTATCATATAGAAACAATAGGTTTTAAGGGAAGTATTCTTGTAGTTTTTCAGTAAAATTCTCTAGATATTTTCACCAACATCAATCTTTTAATAAGATAGTGGCTTCTCATCCTTTAATGGGCTCAAGACAGAGAGCTAGACTGAACTCACATAACAATAACGTTGGGCATATGCTACTCCCATTCCTCTCATTCTGAAGTAGGGGTGTGCCAAAAAAAAATGTAAACCGCTCTAACTGCCCAATCCACTCATTATAGGCAGGTCCATGTCACAATCCGTCTATTTTTAAGCAGCGCACTAATAGACGGGCAGTTGCATAATTTTACTGACAGTGATCAAAACTATTAAAAAACAGAAATTTAGGGACTACGTCCCTGTTTTATAAATATACTTGAACCCATGATTCTGATTAAAGTGTTTTTTATCTAACAAATAATTTGAATTTATAAATTTCTTCTCTTACAAAATTTCTGTCAATAAATCAAAATCACTAACTTGAACATGTGAACTAAACGGATACTTTAAATATGCCAAGTTAAAAGTCAAAACCCAAATTATCATTATGCTCAAAGTTCATGGACTAACACAGCTAATAGCCCTATATTTTAATTGCAATGACTATTTCAATATGTGGGAGGCCACACCCCATGTGGGAGAGCCATAATTTCAGCTGACTAGCTGAAACATTATGAACATCGAGATCTGCGGTAGTTCTTCAGGGGTGCAAATGTACCTAAAGCGAGACTATGAGCGATTGTTGTTGTGAGGTCTAATTCCTAGAGAAACGACAAGGAGAATTGATTACAACATGTCGTCTGCTGTTTTGGTTGTTCAGTCACTTGCCAAAACGCAGTGTAGTATTAGAAGAACCACTCAGAGTGTGACGCGTGGCTCAGCAACAGTCGGTTGAGAGAGAACTCTAGTATATACAACTGTTTCCTCGGCAGATGGGATTATTTCGTGAAAAGTTCTTCTTCCTCTGCTATGGTTTTTTCTAGAGAGAGAAACAAGAGAGAGAAAATGGGTAAAGTTGAGAGATCTGGGTATATTGTGTACTGGAAAAAATCTGGGTAAGGGTGTGATTTACTCACTGGGCATTTTTCCTAAGATCCATGGTTGTGGTTGAATCTCTGATGTATAGTTTCTAGTTCTTGGTTGTTTCCTCTTGTAACCTCTGAGAGAGGTGAGATTTGAGGGTGTAATCGATTCTCTGTTAGTGGAAGGGTTTCTCGCAAGTGAGCCCAACGGGAATTTAGGATTCGTAGAATCCAAACCTCGGTAAAATCTTTCTGTGTTCTTTTCTTTAAAAGTATTCTTGTGTGTCAGTGAATCTTCGAGCTGGTGTTAGGATCTTTCTAACAATGGTATCAGAGCCTTGGTTTTAAGGCGTGAATCAAAAGTTTGAGCTCGAAGATCAAGATTCCAGATTTTGAAGAAGTCACCGTAGATCCAAAGGAGCTATGGTCTCGATGAAGTTTGAACTTGAAAAGTTTGATGGCTCGGGTGACTTTGGACTCTGGAGAAAGAAAATGAGGGCAATCTTGGTTCAACAGAAGGTTGCTAATAAGGCACTCGGGGATATGAAAGATTTCCCGATTTTGGAATAAAGATTGTGGATCATATGTTTTGTTTCCCGATTTTATGTAATAGTAAAATGACTCTTTTGTTTGGAAGAAATTCTTTTACCTATGCTTGTTGTGATTCTTGTTACTACTTAAATTGATGAGTTCATGCTTTGCGAGAAAAGATAATTTTATGTTTTGGATCAATTGGACAGATTGCATGCGACAATGGAGCTGTTGAACTAGTATGCTTGGACAGCGAGAGCTGGGAGACTCTAAGTGATGATTCCCAACTGGAAAGGGTAAGATGAAAATATGAATGATCCTGGATTGGTATATACTTGTGGTCCTTGATCCACGTTATATGATTGTGATACCACACTGCAGTGTTGGAAGCTATAGCTGAGTTATAAAAAGAATCTGTTTTCAACTAACTTTCAATTTTATTTGTATTAGTTTGAGAGCTAATAAAACCAAAATCTTAAAAACTACCTATCTTTGTCGCAGCTTTCTTGCTACAACTAACGTCCATACCTTAGATATTTCAATATTTCTAAGCAGAAGATGAAACTAGAAAACTCCAATTTTCTCATGGCAGTTGGAAAACACCATTATGTGGAATGCGAAAAACATTACTTTGCTAGAAGAATGGCAACTAGTTGGCATTGAGAAACCCAAACAAGAGCGAGTTAGTTGGCTTCTCAAGGATGAAGTCTCCAATGTCCAAGTTGTTGCAGTGGTAGGAATGGGAGGGTTAGGCAAAACCACTCTTGTAAATCAAGTCTATAGAGATGACGAAGTCAAGCAACGATTCCAACACCGTGCTTGGATTACTGTTTCCCAATCATTCGATCTACGGGAGGTTCTTGTAAAAATAGTTGAACAACTCCTAAGAGGGATCGCACAGCCAATTCCGAATGAAACATATTCCAAGGATATACTTTCTCTGAAGCAAGACATAATTTGTTTCCTTGGTGATAAGAAGTACTTGATTGTCTTGGATGATCTATGGAGTGTGGACTCATGGGATGATCTCAAAAACGCATTTGTCTCGTTTGTTTTACAAAATGTCGTTCCTTAATGAATTGCCATGCAATATTTGATGTGTCGTTTTTGGTTTGATTGTTGTCGTTTCTAATTTAATGCTGGATTTTATGATGTTATCGTTTTTTACATGTGCCCCTATTCTCTAGCAGGTAGTTTACATAGTTGTTTTGAATAAAATTTTACTACGAACAAAACTCTAAAATAGTGGTTATTTATTAGTTAATCAGAAATAAATTAATGCTGGCTTTTATGATGTCAAGGCCTCGTTTTGTTTTGTTATGGAAATGTCTTTTGCGTTTTTTGATGTACTTCTTTTGGAAGCGTTCCTAAAATAGTGGTTATTCATTAATTAATCAGAAATAAATTAAAATTGAATTCATAAATCTCAACCAAATAAATCTAAAACAATAAAAAAAATAAACTCAAATCTGATTGACAAAATCTCATGAACACAACACATTTGCTCAAAACAACTCGGATGAAATAAAATCATCACAAAGATTTCTGGTTGTAGATATTCAGAACATTAGCATATATGTCCAAATTACTAAATACCAACTTTGATCATTTCACAAAGATTTTAGTACTACTTAATAATAAACAAAATACCATGAGTAGAAAGAAACAGTACTTTATTTATATACAAACGCCATTTTCAGAAGAAAAAAAAAAAAAAAAAAAACAACTGAGATAAAGATAATAAAGATCAGTTTTAGTAAAAAAAAAATAGTAAAAACACACGCCTGATGAAAAGGATTGAGAAAAGTGACGGTAGAACAAGGGGCAATGCCACAACTTCAGGAGCTATGGTTGGAAGACTGCAAACTATTAGAGGAAGTTCCATCGGGTGTTGAATTTCTAGCTTGCCTGAATGAACTTCATATCATCAATATGGGTGATCAGTTACTGTCAAAGCTGGATCCAAGCAGTCAAGATTCAGACTTTTTAAGAGTCGAGCACGTGCCAATGGTTTACATCGGTTCGCGAGACGCGGAGGGGCTGCATACCACAAAATTATCTTGAAATATAAAATTTGGGAGGTAAGAATTGTATGGTAAATGTATTATCATTTCTGGTTTACTATTTCTATTAGCGTTTTAACGTCGTCTCTGGTGTTTTTTATTATAATTTCCATTTTCTTTATTACAATCTGTTTCTATTACATGTATTATCATTCTCAGTGAAGTTTCCGCTAATCGAATTCTTGATTGGCAGGGATCAGAAATCCTTCAGAATGCATTGCCGGTGTTGGAGATTTGCAACAGTTTAGTTCATTTTCATTGTTCGATGCACGTGCTTCAAAAAGATTGTTTCAAGTGTCTGGCTTATATGTATTCAATCTGTGACAATGTTTGTATAATTTCCTTTCAACTTTTTTTTCGTTTGTTTGTTTTTGTGAGAGTGGAGTCTGTTGTTTAACTTTCTCGTGTTTCACGTGCCTCTGTTGTTTGGCATTGACTTTGTCTGTTTTTGCTGATTTAGCTTTCTCAACAAAAATAATATTCGTCTGAAAGAAAAATGACAAACTATTGAGATAATTATTTTTCCATTGTTTAGAGCGTAGATTTTAAGTTAAAAGTGAAATATTATGTCTTTCGATTGAATTGTTTGTTGTTATGAGCTGAATTGAAAATTTGAGGATAGAATATATGACATTGATGATTTAGGCTCTTGGATTTGATCTGTGTTTAGGCTTAGAATTTTCAGGACGAAATTCATTTAAGGAGAATTGTAACCTCTGTTTTTTTTTTTTTTTTTTTTTTTTATAACGTATCATTATCTAATAGCGGGCCTATTTTAAATTTCAGTGATATTTTTATGAAATATGAGTATAAAGATGCATTTTTATGCATTTTGAAATTTTCAAAATATTTACATTTTGACCTTTTATTTTAAGAAAATTAAAAATTTACCTTTTATTAAAAATATTTGCAAAAAGGCTCTGTTTTTAATTGTCTGCTTTGATTCGTCGTACCACTAAATAAATTATTTTCCTATATTTTATTACTGTTGCCGACAAACATATATATATATATATAAGGCATATTAAATCTGCCTGACCGATCGTTCAATAATTATAGGCCGTCGGATTAAAATCATTGCCTCCTTCCCCTAATCAACACCAAGAACCTTTAGAGCCCTCCTCCGAGTCCCTCCCCATCTCCATCATCGCCGACAACAGAGCCTCCCTCATGATCCCCACCCGCCCCATCGAGTTCATCCACCAACCCCTCCATTTTCCGCGAATTCTTCCCCGCCGGCGCTGGGTTTCAGCCCCACATCAAGCTCGGCGACGCGTTCTTCGAGAGAGCCGAGCTGAAGATGGCGATGGGCCGCCGCGGGAAGGTCGAATCGGCGATCGGGGACTTGGATCGGGCGGTGGAGCTTAGTCCGGAGAACGCTAGGGCTTTTTGCTTGCTTGAAGAGTGCTACGAGGCGAAGAAGATGGAGGCCGAGGTCAGGAAGGCGTACGAGGACGCGTTGAGGATCGAGCCCGAATTGGCCCTGGCTCGGGAGGCTCTGGATCGGTTGGTGAGCTCTTCTTAGTCAATCACGTACAATTTCTTAACTTTTTTTTGTTTTTGAGGTTTTTACTTGTTGTAGAGTTATATAGAAGTTGATTATCGACTTCTTTTTGTAGTGAATGTGGTAATGGTGATGATAATAATGTTGTAATATTTCAAGGAATGGAATTTCTTTACTAGTTAATATGCTGAGAATCAAATTCTGATGTTTATATGGTAAAACTAATTGTTTGCAATAGGCATGACAAGAACAATCTAACAGGTAAGCATGGCAACCAAAATGGCAAATGTTGAAAAAGCAGAAGAGCTCCTAGAAAAGCTTCGCAGTGCGTCTTGGGATGCTGTAGTTCAAGGTGGGGTATTCAATATTTATGAACATGACATATAAATAGTGCAAGTTTATTGAATAATTTTGAAAATATAATCTTTATAGTAATTCATCTTCTGTTGAATAATTCTGTAAATTATTCAACAATTATTGCTTTTTGTGTTTTTCTGTGGTATTCAACTAGTTTCATTTCCAAACCTCTTAGAATTCTGTTTGTCTTGAGCAACTCGTGTAAATCAAACCAGACTTGAAACTAATTGTGTCCAATACAATCGCTTTACTTTGGAAACTATTAAAAAAGAAGAAGTCCTGTCAAAGTTAATAATTCTTGATCGAAGAAAATCATTTACTTTGGAAAATACGCTGAAGGTTTGATTGCATCTTTCATCCTTTAAGATATGGAAGACCTTAAGGATTTCTCCAAGAAGCAAGGTGCATCAGAAGCTGATGACTTGAACCATTGGGACATTAGCTTTTGGAGTGAGAGGCTTCGTGAGTCAAAATATCAATGAGGTCAGATCCCTCCCGTTATCATGTGCAAATCCATGTCTATGCAATTTCTTATAATTTATTCCACTTTCTGGATATTGTAATTAGCTTTGTGCATTTTGTATGGACGCAATATTTAAAATTTGGCTCTCTCTTTATTTATTTATCTTTTTTCTTTTGATAGCACGAGTTACCATGAAAAAGAAAATTACAGTATAAATTATTATTACTATTATTATTATTTTGTATCTAAACCTTTTTTTTTCTCTCTCTTTCTTAGCTATATTCTTTTTTATGGTCATTTATCTTTTGATTTTGGAATTCAACTAAGGCTTTTAGCGACCTATGCTTATGGCTTCTTATACTGCAGGAAGAATTACGTCCTTATTTCTCCTTGCCAAAGGTTATGGATGGCCTTTTCAACCTTGCCAAGACACTTTTTGGAATTGAAATTAAACCGGCTAATGGTCTGGCTCCAGTATGTATTTCAACTGCTCCAACTTTGATTTGTTTTGTTTATTTCACTAAATGTTGATGTGTTTTTTAATGCAAACAGAAATAATAGTTTAAACATATGATTATTCTTTGTAGGTGTGGAATAAGGATGTTAGATTCTACTGCGTCAAAGATTCTTCAGCTAACCCTATTGCATACTTCTATTTTGATCCTTATACTCGACCCTCAGAGAAAAGGGGAGGTGCATGGATGGATGAGGTTGTTTCTCGTAGTCGTGTTTTGTCACGGAATGGTACATCTGCACGGTTGTCTGTGGCCCACATGTTCGTAGTCGTGTTTCTCGTAGTCGTGTTTTGTCAAATTCTGATGTTTATATGTTCGTACTGGATTTTTGGGTGTGAATGTGCTTTGAAGTTTGAATCTTTGGAAGTGATATTGGAATCTTTTTCATGTTTGGATTGGAGGAAAATGCAGTAGCTATCTATTTTGAGGTACATCACTTTCTTGTTGCGTATGTTGGTTCAGAGAAAGTTTTATTTCCTTTTTGTCATTCAGAATTCAGAAGAGCTTTTAATGCAGTCAAATGTGTCTTAACTGCTAGACTACACTAATATAAGCATGTTAAACATCTAATCTAATTAGATAAAAACTAAACTGATATCGTCATTGAAGTCTTGATGTTTTTATTTGAAAGTATCATGGCATTCTAGATTCGGAAAGTTTTCAGTTTTGTTGGACAACTCTGTTCTACAGCTTGGCGTATGACTTTGGGTCCAAGTAGGAAAACGTCACTATAATTTCAGACTAATAATCTGTCAAGAATGTTGTTTTCTTTTCTCTTCTAGTACTAGTTAACTCTAAACTAACAATTCCTTCTTTCATGGGATTATCAAGCTCTTGAATTTATTTCATGTCTGGTTCCCTCTCTGAGAGCATTCAGTGGCCTTGTGAAGTGGTGTTTTTCACAAATTAGTAATTAGTAAGGTAAAAAATAATGTCACAAATTGTAGTACTGTCATGGTTTTATATTATCTATAAATAATGTCACAAATTGTAGTACTGTGATGGTTTTATATTATCTATAAGCCGAATTGGAAACTCGGAAGAGTTTGATCTTCCTGGTCATCTTTATCCTCCTCCGTTTCATAACAGGCCCAAATGTCCCATCTGTCTCACAAGTCTCACCACGTATAAAAATTAGCAAAGCTACCTCTAATGTAGCTTCCAACATTCAGCGCAATCCATTTTGAAAACGTTTTTCACATTTTTTGAGGAGTAAAAAATGAAAACAGTCTGAAGATTACGTTTGGAGCAGCATCCAACCAAAAACAAAACTGAAAATGTTTTTTCTCTTTCTCTTAAAAATTCACTTTCTAAAAACGATTAAAACTCGTTTATATTTTTCTATTTTCATTTTCTACACGTTGGGCTTCTCGGTCCAAACGCGTGGGAGGTTTTCTCCTTCCTCTTAGTTGATAATCGGTGGATCGGGAGGAGTGAGGGGAAGGAGGGAGTCTGCACTTGAACAACGACGTTCTAAGGTTGAGAGCAAGGTGATCTAACTTGACGCCGCCACGGTGACCGGTCCCTTTCCGATTAGCGGCGCCGGAAGCCATGGAAGAGATTGGGAGAGTAATTTTGAGGAGGGATTTATACAACAGTAATATAGGCATTCACTTTATTACTAATGGTAATTACTACGTTCTTATATATATATATATATATATATATATATATAAATTAATCTTTTATATGTGTATGGTAATTAATATTCTAATTGTTTATTACTTGTGTATACCACTATAACTGATAATTAATACATATAATATTTATATATAATAGATATTTTTATAATATATTAATTACTAGTGTATTGTTTGGGAAGAATATTAATTATTTAATATATTATTTAAAATACTATTACACGTTTTTAAAAATGAATAATCATACAGAGTTTTAATTTTTTTATACTAAAAATAATCTTTAAATAAAATTATTAAACATATTTTTAAAAATAATTTCTATACGAACCTCAAAATATTTTTATTTTCATTTTCATATACAAAAAAAAATTATTTTAGAGCCGATTCCTAACGCTTCATTTGTTTTGCAGTTTTATTATTACTAATTATTATTACATTTTGCAAAATATTACCTCTCATTATATCCGGGAAAAAACATGGCGGGCCTCAATGGCGCAAAAATAACTTTTTCAATCTTCAAATGACTAAAGACTTTTTCAAGCAAAAATAACTTCCAAACAAAGTTCAATCAATATATATATTACTATGTTATATGTTCACTTAACTTAAATAAGAAATACATGTATATTATCGTTTCTTACAGCATAACGTAAAAAAAAACTTTCAAACGACGTTCAATAACATGAAATACAACAAATCAACCAATACACATCTTATTTCCGTATGTGTTCACTTAATTGCTATAAAAAATACATGTTTCTATAATTAATATACATGGTCACTTATGTTCATTAACATGAAATACAATAAATCAGTCAATATACATATTTTTATGTTATATATTCACTTAATTACTATAAAATATACATGTTTCGATGATTAATATACATTATCATTTTTTATAACTTAACATATACATCTTTATATGTAAATATGTACATAACTCACATATAAATATACACACTTCATACAAAAATGTACAAGTACCGTTCTGGTCAGGCACTTTCTAAGTGTCTAGAGACTTTGCCTATATATATATAGATATATATAGATATATATCAGATGTAATTATTTGCTTTTAAATCATTACCTTTGCCGAAACATGCACTTATATATATATATATATATGTGTAATTATTTGCTTTTAAATCATTATCTTTGCCGAAACATGCACTAATATAAATATGAAAAAATAGACAAAAATAGATTCAAAGAAATAACTGCTTGAAGAATCAGATATTGTAACAGAATCATCATTTTCAAAAGAAAAAAAAAAAGGAAATCAATGCTTGAAAAGTAAGAAATATAATTACATGTGCCACAATTACGACAATCTATCTATGTTTTTTCTTCCTAAGAAATATAACACTCAATACTACATGGGTTGGAAAACCACATAAGACTTTACAATAACCAAATCATTGACCACTTTGAGTTTTCATTCAAAAAATCCATAATTCCAAGAGTATACCCAAGAACAGTTATGTTAAAATTTTACGGAAAGAGTTATGTTATTCAAAAATCTCTGTTATTCAAACTTATTAAAACCTATAATGTTTTGTAGACACAGTAACTATTGGTGCCAAATTTTATGTTATTACACTACAAGAATTTGAATTTTTTGTTACCAAAAATTTGGTAGCTAAAAGCCCTGTTTTTAGTAGCAAAATGTTTTTATTACCAAAATATTTTGGTAGCAGAAAGTTGGTAGTATAAAGTATTAGTTACCAAAATTTTGGTAGCAAATAGTTTTTGCTACCAAAAAAATTTTTGGTAACAAAATGTAGTTGGTAGCTAAATATATGATATTCGGGGACCAAAAGTTTCGGTAGCAAAAGGTTTTTGGTAGCAAAAGGTGTGAGCTTTCTGCTATCAAAATTTTGGTAGCAAAATATATTTGGTAGCAAAAAGCGTGAGTTTTCTGCTACCAAAATTTTGATAGCAAAATATATTTAGTAGCAAAAAATGTGAGCTTTCTGCTATCAAAATTTTGGTAGCAAAATATATTTAGTAGCAAAAAATGTGAGCTTTCTGCTACCAAAATTTTGGGTAGCAAAAAGTGTGAGCTTTTTGGTCACCAAACCTGAGACAGATTTATATACCTGTATTTTTTGAAAAAATATATATAAATAAAATACCAAATATTAATTTAAAAATCTATAAATATTTCAATACATATTAAAATCCAAACAAAATACTAAAATAGTCATACTTAAACAAACCTAAACATTTATCCAAATATTGTACTAGTAAAATCTTAATCACATAACAACTTCCTCAGCCACAATGCTTGATTCACTACTGTTGTAGCAGCAACAAATTCGACCTCTGTAGTAGACTGTGCTACAATCTCTTGTTTCTTGGAACACCATTAGAAAACTTCTGATCCTAGACTGAAAGAGAACCCAGATGTACTCTTCATGTCATCCACGGATCCACCCCAATCAGTGTCAGATGTACTCTTCATGGACCATTTATAGATCCCCGAAAGCTGACCAATGAATTGTTTGTCCCTACTAAATCCGATGTTCAAACAATGGCTATTTATATATATTGAGCTTCTTATAAGGGAATATATCCCCGTACTAGTCCTTTTAAGGGTGATTGGACCACAATCTAAGGAATTCTACTCTCTTTTCTGCTGGTCCAAATAACCCAAGAAAGCCAATTATGCAGGTGTGCAAAAACCAAAAAGGAATATGAAAGGGGCATATACGTGAAGCATTTCAAGAACATTCCAATGCGAGAATGAGTTTTTATAATGCAATCAGCAAGAAGAAAGTTGAAATCAACAATAAAACTAAAAACATCTCCACAATGAGAGAGGGAAAAAGAGAGAGATAGAACTGACCGGAACGATGAGAATCGGCGGCGGCGACAGCGACAATCGACGGCGGTGATAGCGGGAATCGGAGTATGTGACGCCGAGAATCAGCGGCTAGAGAGAGAAGGAGAGAGAGAGAGAGGAAGAAGGGCGGACAAATTTCTGAAGAAGATGGCACGCATTTCTGAAAATTTTAGGGGAAGAAGGGGATTTCTGAACGTATTCATAGAAAATTATCAAATAATTATTATACAGAATATACTAGGATATGATTGTTAAAACTTAATATAGGACATATTCATAGAAAATTGAAAAAAAAAATAATACAAGCACAAAATATAAATATTAAAATTTATATATGATTTGCTACCAAACACAACTTTTGGTAGCAAAAAACGTCTTTTTGTTACCAAAATAAGAATTTGCTAGCAGAATCATGTTTTCTGCTACTAAAATTTAGTACAAGAAACTTATTTTTTTTGTTACCAATCATTGTTTTGATAGCTGAAAGCATATTTTTTGCTACCAAATATGAATTTGGTACCAGAAAGATAAAAAAATAGCGTTTTAATGTCAAAAATTATTTAAGAATCATTGTTCTAATAACATTATAACAAAAAATGTAGTTTTGAAATTGAAATACATTATTTAAAGTTAAAAATCAATCAAATAGAGAGATTATATACTACTCTATGTGGAACATATACTTAATTAACAAGATCACATATGTGTACACATGAACATGTTTCTTGTTACACCTACACAAAATAACTAAATTATTAAATAATTGTTATACAAAATATACTAGGATGATTGTTAAAACTTAATATAGGACATATTGATAGAAAATTGAAAAAAAAAAAAGCAATACAAGAACAAAATATAAATATTAATGTTTTTATATGATTTGCTACCAAACACAAATTTTGGTAGCAAAAAATG